TACAAAGCAATCCTCAATTCGAGATAGTTTGACTGACCAGAATTATTCCCCTTAATCAAATACATGTTTTACGGATGTTTTTTTATATAATGGTGTTGCATCGACACCTTCTCTTGATGTTGTAGGATCCGAAGCACGGGAATTGGTGGCTGGAATTCGGGCCGGGCATTCTAGTCGGGTACTGGCCGTCGTTCCTGTTCACTCACCTAATGGACCACGCGACCATGGTTCAATTTGGCGGGGAGATCGTCAACTCCATGCCCTCCGGGTCGCACACCACGACCCAGATGGGTAGCGGGCAGTTTGCCGGAGAGGGCTTCGCCAAGGCCTCCTACTTCCGCAGCCTGCAGGTCGTCGACTGGGACAACAACCTGACCCCGCCGTCGAATCTCCAGGTCGTCGCCGACCACCCGAATTGCTACAACATCCAAAAGGAATACAACGACGCGTGGGGGAATTACTTCTACTACGGCGGACCCGGGAGAAATGTGCAATGTCCCTAAGAAAGGAGCTGGGACATCTTAATGTTCTCTTTTTATCCAACTTATTCACTTATTGTACGAGTGTGGCGTTGGATGTGTTACATTCTCTTCTATAGAAATCGAGCCTTTTGACTAAACGGGCTGGTTCACCATTTTCCTAAGGAGGTGTATCTTTTCTTGACCAAGAGTCCCCATCCCTGAGAAAATAATGGGTAGGCCAAGAGTACCCAGAAGACATGTCGCGCCACGTGTCGTCCGTCGAATGGGCCGGCCCCATGGTGACGTGGAGGGGCCGGCCTACCCAATATTTTCTTCCACTCGCATATTGGGACCATTAGTGAAGCACATAATGTCGAAATGCCATTCACAGCAATTGATATGGTCATGTCTAATTCCATTAAATGGGTTGTTGAGATGTAGATTAGAATCGAAACAAATTAAAATAAATCGCTAATAAAAGAAGAAATAACTGGAAGTATTAAAGAGCTAGTGTAATTAGTGATAGCTGCGGTAATCGCTATTGACAATAACAACCGTACGTCGTCACGCGGTTGCCTTCGTAACGGTGGTCCCATCTATGCAAAGAAACATTGGGAGAGGATGAGACATAAAGAAAGAGAAAGGGAGAGGGATTGGTGGCTTAGGCCGCCGCTGCACAATGATCGACGTCCCCTGGATCATGAACGGGTCTAAGATCGTGAGAGAGATAGAGAGAGAGAGAGATCGCGCAGGCACTTGGCGATGGCTGCGTTTGGTTTGACTTTGAAAATGAGCTTTGAAGAAATGCAAATGCCTTTAGCGTAAAGGGCTTTAAGGAAATACAAATGAATCCTTTGTAAAGCAACTTTGAATTAAATAATATTTGGTAGAAGAAGGACTTTGATTATGTTTTTTTATTTTTATTTTTTTAAAAAACTCAAACCCTTCGCCGGCGGCCATTGTCTGAGTTCGCATACCTTTAGTGTAAAGGGCTTTGAGGAAATACAATTGAATCCTTTGTAAAATAACTTTGAATTAAATAGTATTTGGCAAAAGGACTTTGGTTACGTTTTTTTAATTTTTATTTAAAAAAACTCAAACCCTTCACCGGCGGCCATCGTCTGAGTTCGCACGACCCATGCAAGGGCCACCTGAGGTCGCGCGAACCCAGGCGATAGTCACCTAGGGTGGCGTGACCCCATGCGACCGTGGCTTGGGTCGCGCAACCTCAAACAACAGTCGCCTAGGTCGTGCAATCTCGCTGGCCGCCCTCGCACAAAGAAAATAAACAACAACAATGAACTCAAAAAAAAATTGCTGGTGGTAGTTTTGGAAGAAGAAAATGATTTAACCCTTAAAATAGCTTTACGCAAATGCTGAAAGCCAAGACCGGCCTTGGGTTTTCAGCTTTACCAAGACTACTATTTAGCTAGAGAGGTCCCAATAGAAATTTTGCCGAACACCCCATATTTTCCCCGGGCCATTAGGAAAGCTGAATCGAACGCAACCAACGAACTAAAATCAGCACGCGACGGCATCACTTGTGATATCGATTTGCAACAAGAAGGAATCTCGTTCCCTTTTTAGACAAGAGCAAGTTGCAAGTGATTCGCATTAATCCTATCGACAGGACAGTCGCCGCCACGAAAGCTCCCTATTGATCGGACCACCGGACAAGGGCCAGGCCGCGACCATGCATGGAAAGGGGATGGTTTGGCAAATGAACAGAAGCAACTTCAATACGACGCCACCTCTTATACAAAAGATTAGTTGAACTACACTTGCCTGTGCGGCGGCGCGCATGTTCAAATCCCCGACCACCAACTTTAAAACAACAAAAAAAAACCCTTTCCTCCATCTTTTACTCTTTTGTCTTAAATATTCCGCTGACGTTTTGAAAAACACATAATTATGGTCCGTTACCTTTTTTTTTTTTTGGTTATATATTTCATATTTACATTTCCTATCCACTTGTAATTTACTAAAATTAGCATTTTTATTCCCAGATATTATCCCGTCCAAAAGCGCTAACAAGAGAATGCGTCGAATGATGCGATCGGGGTGACTCGCTTTCGTTCGAGGGCTAAATACTCGGGCTTCTTTGCTCTACGGCGCTCCTCTCGTGCAATCCATCGCGCCCTCTTTATCTCTTTGCAAACCACAAAACCTAAAACCCGAAAGGACGGAACAGAACGAAATTAGCCGGAATCACTCACCGACCGTCACCGGCTCGAGGCCAAAATCGAGGTTGTGGCGGAACACGAAATTAAGGTTTTAACGAGATGATTGATCAAATAATATTTTCTCTGACGGCGATACGACGATATAGTTTTACTAAATTTCAATCAATTTAGAACAATCGTATGCTATTCCCAACGAGATATCCGACCAGACAAAAAAGTCAATTCATTCTCAAAGTTACCCATGTTTTTAGGTTGCGCGTGTTGAACGGAATTGAGCCTGTGTCGGACCATGCACGAAAGAACCCGTGCTCACCACGATGAAGACAGCGCGTGGGAAAGGGGACCCAATGTACAGTTTGGGAGTTAGTTGACTGCTGTTTGATAAGGGGGAATTTTCCAGCCCAAGCCAGCGCATCTCTCCCCCCCCCTTAATCCATATTATAGAAAACAAAGAAATATGCAATATGCCCAAAATCCAAAAACATGGAAAATGTAAAAAAAAATTCATCCAAAACATTGTTTTCCTAATGTCATAAATATCGATATTGTTGAAAAATGGGAATCCTTCTATATTGGGCATATGGTTGCAAGTTCCCCGACGGCGCCCTTCACAAGACCCGTTTTTATTATTCACCATTCGGGCATCGAGTACATAATTTTCTAGATAAGCGTTCTTAGACACTCGTTAGATAATCGAATAAAAAAAAAATACATCGCTACGCGTTACTTTGTCCCGTAAAATTCTTGATTTTTGGAGGAGGAAATGAGAGGAGAGGACGTTTTGTGCTTGCCTTATAATTCATAAGGATGAATAATGACTAGGAGTGTGCAAAAAAACCGGTAACCGTTCAGGACCGCCCGGAACCGATGGTTTTTAAGGGAACCGATCCGGTTCCCGGTTCTAATTTTTGGGAATCGGTGGGTACAGGTCCGGTTCCCGATTCTAAGTGTGAAAACGCAAGCCCACCCGCCTGCCCGGACCGAACCGGTAATATAACAATAAATACAATATATTTATTTGTTTATTTACTTTTTAAAAAAAGAAAAATCATAAATCTCTAAATTAAACCTAACTCGTTGGACGCTCATAGCCTCACATTGAGCCGAGAAACACCTTATTTCCCTTTCACCTTACGCTCACTCTTACTGTCTCACTCTTCTTAGTCGATGCTCACCTCACCGTCTCCGACTCTCTATCTCCGTCTCCATCTCTGTCTCTGTTCTTGGCTAGTGGGATCGATTCTATGAGTCCACCCGGGAACCGGACCGAACCGGCGGTCTGGTTCTAAGGTAGATCTATGAAATCAACGGGCGGTTCCCGGTTCCAATTTTTCGGAACAGGTCCTTAGTGGGCGGTTCCCGATTCTAGAGTAGGAACTACCTGCTCGGACCATACTCACCACTAATAATGACTAGTAATAAGTGAACAAGTCCATAATTTGCGGTTTAAAAAAAGGGAAAATACCACAAAAAAACCCTAAACTATGCCACTTGTGACAAATTTACCCTGAACTTTTTTTTTATGACACGAAAAACCCCAAACTATACCACTTGTGACAATTTTACCCTGAACTTTTTTTGTGACACGAAAAATCCCAAACTATGTCACTTGTGACACAAGTCACACGAGGGTTATATTTAGAAAACCTACTCGCCTGACGTCGGCGAGGGTTGCCCTCACCGACTTCCCTCCGCCGGCCATGGCGGAGGGAAGAGAGAGAAGAAAAGAAAAAAATAGAAAAAGAAAAAAGACGAAAATGTCCATGGGCCAAAGTATTGTGGGGTAAATGTGTTATAAGTTGCATAATTTGAGGTTTTTCGTGTCACAAAAAAAGTTCAGGCTAAACTTGTTACAAGTGACATAGTTTGGGATTTTTCGTGTCACAAAAAAAAGTTCAGAGTAAATTTGTCACAGGTGGCATAATTTGAGATTTTTTGTGATATTTTCCCTTTAAAAAAAGCACAACAGTCGCGAATAATTTCCTAAATATAAAATATTTCGTCGTCTATTATTATCAAATGGTGGGCCCCTCCTTTTGGAACATAATTATTTAGCGGCGGCCACGTGGCAGTAGGCTCCGCCTGCCTGCATGGACGGGAGAGAGAGAAAGAATACGACCAGACGAGACAGTGCGCACGCCTCCTGATTGGTTGAGACTTCGTGCGGTAGGAGGAAGTGAAGGAAGGACAACAAAGCCATTTTCCCAAAAATTCTTCCATGGCGAAATCAAGATGACAAATTTACAATAATGCAGGCGCGAAGTCACCCACCATCCGTGTTTTTATATCCTCCTTTCGCTTTCGGCAAGAATTCTCCAAAGGAAGAAACATACGGGCAACAGTAAAAAACACGTTCCTTTGACTCCCCTCCCCTTCCTAGAGGGGTTTGAATTTCGTTCTTCTTCTTCCTCTTCTTGTTCTTGTTCTTGTTCTTGATTCTTCTTCCTTCCTTCGGTTTCTGAGAGGTTTCCCTCCCTCTTCGTCTGGGCCGAGAAGAGCCCCTCCTTCCTCTTCTGTTGGGTTTCCCTTTTTGGGTTTCTTCAAAGAAAGGCGTCTTTTTTTTTTCTCTTTCTCTTCTTTCGTTTTTCTTGTTCGTCCCCGGTGGTGGAGGATGATAAGGTTCGGGGTGCTGGGGCTGCAGCTGACGGAGCTGTTCGTGAGCTCGGTGGTGCATTTGCTTTATGGGTTTTACATATTCAGCTCGGCCGTCGCGGGCGACCTGTCTCAGGCGTTTCGGGAATGCCTCTTCAAGCCAAAACCGAATCTTGACCAAAACAGGGACGCGACGGCGGCGACCAACGTTGAGAATTTGCCTCCTATTGTGTTGGTTCATGGAATCTTCGGATTTGGGAAGGGGGTATGTATGCGATGGTAATCTTGTCGTAATTCGAGCACTGGTTTCCTTCGAATGAATTCCTTCTTTCTTTTTTCTCCCCTCTGAAAGCGGGCTTTCGTTTCCTTTTTCTTTCTTTTGTTTTATTTGAATATGGCTTTCAGAGATTGGGAGGTTTATCTTATTTTGCGGGGGCAGAGAAGAAAGATGAGAGAGTTTTGGTGCCTGATTTGGGATCTTTAACCAGCGTATACGACAGGTGTGTGCTTGAAGTTTGTAAATCTCTTGAACTCAAGGTCATATATCAGCACTTTATCTTGGTTTTTCGCAAATGCTGAGAGGTTTCCGCAAGTTTGTAATTCCAGGGCTCGCGAACTGTTCTATTATTTGAAAGGCGGGCAAGTCGATTATGGCGAGGAACATAGCATGGCGTGTGGGCACTCGCAGTTTGGGCGGACCTACGAACAAGGTATACAGATATCGAGGGAAAAATTTAGTCCCGAAGTCTTTCACTTGAAGTTCCCTGTTCAGAAAATGGTGGCTTTTCACAGTGAAGGTTGACTAATGCGAGTTTTCTAAATTGATGCACTTGCCGGTGGTGCAGGGCATTATCCGGAATGGGATGAAGATCACCCAATCCATTTTGTGGGGCATTCGGCAGGAGCGCAGGTCGTTCGGGTTTTGCAACAGATGCTGGCTGATAAGGTACTTTTGATCTTCCCCATTAGCGAGCATACTCTAGTACATGGAAGGACAGTCATTGACAACATTTTCAAATGGCTGGGGATGATGATTTTAGGCATTCAAGGGGTATGAGAATACTTCTGAGAACTGGGTGTTGAGTATCACATCCTTATCAGGGGCATTCAACGGGACCACAAGAACGTACTTAGATGGAATGCGGTGAGTTTGGGTTTTGCCTGTTATCTTGGCTTTTGAATCTCTTTCACGGGTCACCACTGCAAGTTTGATTTCTTAGTGTAATTTCTATAAGCTCAACTGGCTTAGGTAGATTTCTAGCGGTGCTTCTAATCTGGTGGGAAAGTTTTGTTTTTTTTTCTTTTTTTGTGTTGCTGAAGTGTTGAAATGAGCTTCAATAATTCAGGCCAGAGGATGGAAAGACAATGAAGGCAGTATGTCTGCTTCAGCTTTGCCGTCTCGGTGTGATAGTATACGATTGGCTCGACATCCCGTGGCTGAAAGCCTATTACAATTTTGGTTTTGATCATTTTGGCATTTCTTGGAAGAAAGTAGGGATTTGGGGTCTTTTCAATTGCATATTGGGAAATACAGGCCCCTTTGCCTCTGGCGATTGGATCCTCCCAGACCTCACGATTCAAGGGTCGATGCGACTGAACAGTCATCTGCATACTTTCCCCAATACATTTTATTTCAGTTATGCCACCAAGAGTACTCGAAAGATCCTCGGCATCACAGTTCCTTCGAGCATGCTTGGGATCCACCCGCTGTTTTTTGTAAGGGTGCTTCAGATGAGTCAATGGCGGCATCCTCCAGATGTTCCTCCTCCTTACAAAGGCTACAGGTGAAAATCTTATGGTGTATGTTTCACTATCAGTACATTTACGGAAACTTAGAGAGAGCTCCCTTCAGATAATGTTAGAAGTTCATTTTGACAAGATTCTATCAGCTCATCAACTTCATTTACTAATTTGTGAATTCTAGGAACTCCGTAAGTTCTTATGCACCGCATATATAAGATTCTTGTTCTGTATTCGGTTAATATTGAGAGTACTCCATCGAGAGGAACCTAAAAAATAAGACATGAATAAAAGGGAAAGAAGTAACTCGTCTCATAGTTATAAGATATACTTTCACAGGGATGAAGATTGGCAGGATAATGACGGAGCGCTCAACACTATATCCATGACTCACCCGCGCCTCCCGATCGAACATCCTAGTCATTACGTCGTATCAGACTCTGATTGCCAACCCCTGGAACCGGGCATCTGGTTAGTACTTATTCCTCGTCTCCGTTATTGCTCATTCTATGCTGAAGCCCGAGTGATTGAGCTTTATCTTATAATGATCGACTTTGGAGAAATGCCTTATGAACCAAAAGATTTGAGGTCTTTTCAGTCGCTGTCACTTCGAATTTGTAGCAAACTCTAAAAGCATGAAGCAGTTACGTTAAAGTAAATGGTCAAATTTATTAGCTCATGCAAAGTTTATCGGTTCATCCAAAGATTTGAGGTCAACACTCGATATATTTCACCATGATCATCCTCCCCATGAAGAACAGTATGCTACTGTACTGCATCATTAGACAGCATAAACGACAATCACCTAAGGTTAGTGATTGATCCAGGTCGGCCAGATAGAGCGTCATCATCTGTTCTGGCCTTCCTTGAGGCCTATGATTCAATCCTCAAACAGCATACTTTGGTGCAGTTTTATCTACGTAGCGTCTCTTTCACATGAACAACTGTTTCAACATTTTGAAACATAAGGTGCCGTCAACTTAAATTAGCAGTGGAATCAAATCTTGCGGTTGAAAATGAGTAGTTTGAATTGCCCCGGCGAAGAAGTTTGACGTATTAAGAGAAATCTATTCAATTACCCACTTCCTTTTGACGGATACCACTGAATTGTTTTTTCCTCGTGCTAGTCGTTGTCCTAGCAAAGACTTGCTAACATGAAAATGAGATGGTTTGGCTTTACACGGTTGTGAATTGGTGGAATGCAGGTACCACAAGATCGTGGAAGCTGATCACATACTGTTCATTGTGAACCGTGAGAGAGCGGGAATTCAGTTTGATCTCATATACGATAGCATCTTCCAACGTTGCCGGAAGCATGTATTCAGAAAATCTCTGCCAACATTGCCGAATAACATAGTTGCTGATGATGAATAGAAGTGGAAACTGGAAAGGAAGCTCATGGTTGCCCATATTTATAGCGTTTCTCCAACTCCGTGTCATTCTGTCGAGTCGATGCCAATTTTGGCACATCATTTTGATCTTTTAGTAGTGTTAGGGAAAACAGAAGCTATAGGCAGGCTCAGAATTAAGTTTGTGAAATTATTTGAAACAGGCAGATTTTCTGGCATTAAGTCTACAGAAATTCTTTTTGCATCTTTACAGCCATTTACTCTCTCTCTCTCTCTAAGCTTACTGATTACTGTATCATCCGTGACATAAGACAAACTCAGGACATCTTGGGTAGCCACTAGATATACCAAACTTATTCCAGCATTTTCCTCTAAATCAACCACAGCATCACCAAAGGCAGATGCTTAACAAAATAGAAACAAATTCCAGCAGCACATACTATGATTGTTAAAGCACGGATAATGCCATGCTGGATTCTTCTGAGGACAATTCAGTAGCTATGATATTTCCAGCCATATGTTCATTACAGCACTCAAAGACAGGCTGCAACCAACATCGGCAAGTCTGAATACTGAACAGATCCACAGTATGAAACTGAAAAACTAGATTGTGAGATTATACTGAAGACAAAGATCAAAGCGTACTATGCAGACCTACTCCACAGAGTTAATATGAATTAAAGATCTCGACAGCACATTCATTCACATTATCAAAATGGTAAATCTATCAAAAGTATGGGAGTACTACATATTTGGGGAACCACCAACAATTAAGCCCAACCAAAAGAATAATTATAAAGCGTCGAAAAACAAGAAAACCGATATTATCCGCATCAAACCACTCTTCAAAAAGCCCGCATTTTCTGAAGCTTCTGTCATTGTCCATCAGTCTTGGCATGTCTGGTAAATCTACCTCAAATAAGCCTCAGTTCATACTCGCCTGCCATTGTAATGTATCTCACCCAGGGAAGAGCCTGGTAGCCGGTCTTCTCAATAATCTTCAGGTACCGCACCTAAAACAGCATCAAGGATCAGAAATAAAACGGAATGAATATTCTGCTTTGATTGTTGAAATAAAGGCTTCACCGCAGAATATGTCCGGCAATCTAAGAAACCAATAGTCGAGAAGAGACTTCATCTAAGATTTGACATGTCCATGCCAACCGTTTTTGACTACTGTATTTTACCCTTCTTCTTACATCATTCTTTCTCCAACAGTTCAGTCAAACTGGACCAATACCATGAATATATTGGAAGCAATAAGATAAGCCCTATAGAGAGGCACCTGTATGCCGGAGACAGTGAAATATGGTATCTCAAACTTCACGCGTATGGGGGCCTTCCTCTCAGGAGTTGCTTCTTCAGCTGTTATACTGGGTAGACTGAATTCAGCCCTCAACATATACTCCTGCAAATTCAGTTTTAAAAGGAGAATCGAATGAGAATAGAATGGCTAGAGATATACGTGTAACACAATTCTTTTAGTATGCAATGGTATAGATAGTCAACCCACACAAGTGAGAGGATACACAGCCATACCTTGCCACCAGGAAAGGATTTTATTTTCCAGACAAGTGCATCGTTTTCTGGTGCATATGACGCAGAACCCATTGAAGTTCGAACATTTGGATTCGTAGAATCAGCAGGAACTGGCAACTCAATTTCAACGTTTGTAGCGGTACTGTTTTTCAAATCAAACTTAGAATGCTGATAAATCATTAACAAGAAAAGCAATTATATAATCATTAAAAGAACAATCACCTGCGCTCCTTGAACTGGCTCCTAGCTTTTACCATGATCTCAATACGACTTCTTGAATGCTTTTCTACTTGGGCTTCCACCCAGATAAGTGGCTTTACCTGAAGTAGAAAAAATAAATGCATCTTTCACAAGACTACAAATGCAATATTGGAAAATAACTAAAATCAAAGTTTGAAGCAAACCTGAGTACTGAGTCTGTACGTCATAAGGTCAAAAGATCCATCAGGTGGTATAAAGGAGATTGTCCTATCATTTTCGAAGCGGGCCAAGCGTACACACCTAATTCAACATAGAGTTCAATCCAAAATCACAGATCAAACTGAGATGGACAAACAAAATAAAAAGGAAAGGTGAATCATCTTAACAAACAGTTCAGGCCACATAGGAGCTCGTCGAGTTAGACAACTTACTGATGGAACTTTATGTCATCCAAATCAATTGCCTTTCCCTTTGTTGTTCGACCTTGGGCCTCCAATAATACTCTATCATTTAGGCCAAGCTTGCACTCTGGCATGCCACTGTAAAAAATAAATAAATTAATCGAGTTAAGAATCAATACGATTGTGCTGAAAAATATGTCAGAAACAAAAAGAACTATCAAATAGAGAAGAAACAACAGATTCCTACTCCTGCTCCTGTCTTCGTAGAGTTAAGAGTTTTTTCAGCTCCTCTTCCTTCTCTCATAAGCCACAGTTCTACATCCCAAAAGAGCAATAGGAAGTCATGATTTTTTAAGATCCCCTATGTCAAAGAGGATGCAATATTCTACTCTGTTGTCATCATCCTTGAGCTTCATACTCTTTCTCTAGTTTGCCTATTAAAATGCTTGACATGGATGTCCAGGCCATCCAAAAAGAGAGCTTGTAAACTTGTAATGACTAGTTTCTTAGAATCTTAATGCTATATCCTTGCAACAACCTAGAGGTTCCTATTTCACTTGCGCCCACTGTCATCCTTTAATTACACTACGAGTTGCAATAGATTTGTGGAGCTACTGTCAAGAAATCCTTCCGCTTTCCGTTCTTCTAATGAAATGACCAAGCCAGATTATGAAACTTATTTTTCAAGTAAATGTAGAGTGTTTCACCAAACCAATAACTTGTTACAGAGAGTTACAGTTGTGTTGGTTCCAAAATACAGAAACCAAATTCGGTCTGATTGGGAAAATACATTCAATCAAATCCTTTGCCACAAACTTAGACATGTCAGAGAGCATGATCAGATGATTAGCAAGCTGAAAGGGCACAATACATACTAATTCACATTAATGTTGATATGACAAGCTCAACTTCTGCCGTTACCAAACTTCATGATCTTACTTGAGTCCAAAATTAGAAAGACTTCTGGTAATGTAAATCTTGACATAATTATGGTAAGAACGAGCAACTTCTTGCTGCGAGAAGAGACAAAATACTTAAATACACAGAACCAACCCCCAGACATTTCAAGCATCAGCAGAACAGGCGTGGTGAATAGATGCTAGTTTTAAGATTACTACTGAAATGAGGGGGAAAAAGACAATAACATTTTATAGTGTACAGACTGCACAGTGCAGGAACACTATCAATCTTCAGTAGATTCAGGATGGGAGAGCAATTGCTGTTTTTTGACAAATCAAAGTACAATACCTCAGAACAAAATTTATTTTTACTATTTCAAAACCAGAGTAAAAATATTAAAGCGGTTCCATCTTCATTCTATAAACTTCTGTGTAAATAATGGCAAATATCACAATAGCAGGTCTATGAAGCATTACAAGCTACCATTTCCCAAAATGGACTGAATAGTTGAGCATTGGTGAATAACAAACCTCAGATACGTTCTCATTTTCAAAGCTCCAACCACATCTGATCTGATAATTTGCCCGTTGCTATTGACAAGTATATTGACACTCTCCACGACATCCAAGAATACCTACAAAATCAGACACGCCCATTACATTCCAATTACTGGTAAAAGATGACAATAGAAGAGAGAAAAGAGCTTGGGAGGAAAATCAAAACAGACTTACTTCATTCTTCTTGTAACGTATCCCTTCGCTACGCCAAGAAACTGCATTTGTTACAGCCATGGGAGGCCTTTGAGATACTTCCATCCTATAAGCATCGGTCTTGATAAACTCACTTAGAATTTTTGCTTCAGTATACTGAGGGTAACCGAAGTCCATCATTTCATCGAGTAATTCATACTGCCACAGAAACAAAGCGAGCAGAGGATTCAACAAATTATCATCAACACCCGAACATTTGAAATCACCCAGAAAAAGAAAGAAAGATTATTGAGCCCTAAATGATCCATAGGACCAGAGACAATGATGGGAAACAATAGAAACAAAGTCCAAAGCATCTTACCACAACAACAAAGTTATCTCTAAGCGATTCCTCCTCTAGTTCCTCGAAATAATGCTTGAATACCTGCAACGACACATGCACAATTCTCATTACACACGAGCACTTTAAATTTTTTATTTTCCGCAACATTGTGCTAGTAAATGCGTAGGCTACTAATGGTGCGAACATATAAAAATTTACCAATAGCTCTTACATCAACAACTCGGTGTAGGAAAAAAAGAAGGCTGGCAGCGTTGCAGTTCTGCCGCGCCGCTACCATCAAGTAAACATTGCTATGCTGTATGAACATATAGGTGACGCCATTATCATACACGACTGGATCCTGAGACTGCGGATCACCCTGAAATGACAATCCGGATGATATCAGAATCACGCCAAAGTCAGCCAAACTTCCATCGCGTAGGCGTGAGAGCAACACGATCGAGATCGTAAATGGAATCCATACAGGTCAAATCAAAGAAGAACCAACAACAGATTCTACCCAAATCACGAGCATCAGTCTCCACCTCACACAACCACAACGCATTCCAATAGCACACGTTTCCAAATCACACGAAATCGACCAAAACCTCCACGAGAAGCAAGATTCCCTCCTCCTAACTCGGAAGTCCAACACCCAAAAAAAAACACCCCACGCGAATCGAAACGAACGGACCTCTTTCTCGATGAGCTTGGTGAAGAAGCGCTCGGCCTGGACGGCGGAGACATCGCCGCGGTAGTCGCGCCACACCAGGACGCGGCCCTTGATGTCCAGGAGGAACAGCGCCGACACCGCTCCGGCCATTCCCCCGTCGCTCAGCCGATCGAATCGGAGACCGACCGGATCGGATCGGATCGGATCAGGCGAGAATCGCAGGGATCTGAGGCTCCGTCAGCCGAGGAACCCACCCGTCCATCCGCTCGCCGACCTCAGAGGTCCGGATCCGCCATTGACTCTCGCTTCAATCGCTTGTGGCTCGAGAAACAAGGTATTGCCGAGAGCTTCTTCTTCCTCTTCTTGCTCTTCTTCTTCTTCTTCTTCTTCTCGTCGTCAGAAATTGCGAGCAGGGCGTGACGATGGCGGACGGAATGGAATGCGCGAGTGAGAAGGGAGCTCCGAGCCTTCAAGCTTCTTGATTCCAAGGGGGAAACT